ATAAATATATATATAATATATAATATGTATATAATAATTATTTTTACATTATATTATATAAAAAAATTTAAATTAAAAAATAACATTTTTATAAATTTTATATTGTTATTTTAGAATAAAAAATGTTTTATTTTCAAAAATTTGTTTTTTTTCTAGTTTAATTTAGTTAATAATTACTAAAAATATAAATTCAATTATTTTTTTTAATTGAAGCTGAAGTTTTTGTTTTTATAAGTTTAAATTCTGACGAATTATACGGAAGATAGGCACGCCTGCGCCGTATCGATCCGAAATTGACGGTTTCGTCTTTCCGTAAATGGAACAGTATTGTCCAAGTATGTATATAATAGTTCGATGAATCACATTAAAGAACATGGAAAATTGTTTCTTTGATAATAATGCGGTGTTCCGGTCGAAAGTTTCTAATCTGGATCATTTTAATGTTCCTTTTTGTTTTGATTAGTCATCTTCTAATCAGTCGTGAATTATATTTATCAATATTGGCTATTACCGATATTTTAATATCAAAAAATCATTCAAGTTTTCAACAAAACATCCAAATTGGAGCACCTGCTTTCTCAGCAGGCATGTACATGGCGGGTCTACATCCTAGGAATAGAAGTTTTTGTAAATGGTACCATGGTCTACCAAATGTGCTTTCGTATCCTGCATCCAAAGTTACTTGGAGCCCTGAAATCGGTGAGAAGAGTCCCTACAGAGTTCTACCGTTTGTATTGCGCGGAACCGAGAAGAGGAATAAATTGCCTCAGGTGACCTTTTGCACGCACGCCACTGCAGATCAGGTCTATGGAATCGTGGAATTAGCTCGGAGATGGGAGGGCCCATTAAGTCTAGCCGTTTTCACGCCTGGCCTTGATGCTGGTATTGCCGTTGCTCTCCTCGATCGGGCCTGTCGATGCGAACCTGAAATGTATAAGGTTTTCTTATGCACTCGCTGTCAAAACGGGTTAATAGTTCAATAGTATTATGATAAACTTAAATATTATACATATATCGTAATTATATTATTTTCAATTATTTTACTTGTCTTATTAAATACATAATTAACATAATTTTTATATATTTTATATATTTTCTAATGTCAAGAATATTTCATAAAAATTAGTACGATATAGGATTTTAAATTTGATATAAAATCATATCTAGTCATTATAAAATATTTATAAATATTTAATATGAATGCATTTAACTAACTTACAAATGCATATATCATATCGTATATATAATAATTTAAATAATGTACATAGAATCGTAATAAAATATAATATCAAAATCCTAACATATTTTATTACAGGTTTCTATTCACTTGGTATTTCCTGTTGATCATCCACCAGCTTTAGGACAAATTATTGAAGTTGAAGGTGATTGTTCTGCATCTGATCTTCAGAAAAGAGAAACAGAAAGAAAACAAAAGGGCATGATTTATCCTATTAATGTGGCCAGAAATGTAGCTAGAATCCAAGCAAACACTACTCGTGTTCTAGTAACAGATATTGAATTATTACCTAGTCAAAAATTAGCATCCGGTTTTATGAAAATCGTCCGTGAAAAACCACCAAAAAGTGGTGTTATTTTTGTGGTGCCAATATTTGAAATAGAATCAAAAGTGTTACCACCTTCGACAAAAAAAGAATTGCTTTCAGCAACAAAAGCTGGTTTAGCCGTGTATTTTCATAGGTTTGTGCAAATAATATATATTAATTATAATTATACAAAATAATTATAATTATGTAAATAATATACATAATTATAATTATACAAAAATAAAATTTACATTATTATAATTATATAAAGATAAAATTCATACATACATTTTAATTTTGAACATAATATATATCATTATGAGTAAGATATGGAAAATTTTTTTTTTAATAGATTCCTCTGTTCACATTGTCAAAAATTTCCTGGACTTACTAGATGGTTAATTAGACCGGATCCGGGTAAGGTAAAACCACTTATTATTACGAGAAGGGAATATCCACATCATAGATGGGAACCTGTATTTATAGGAACGCAAAATGATCCCTTTTATGCTGAAGAAATGTCTTGGGAAGGTAGACAAGACAAAATGAGTCAGGTAATGTACATATTCATCGATACGATTTATTACATGATAATAGTCACATTAATCATTAATTGTAAAAAGTACATTTTATTTTTAAAATTAAATTTAATTTAAAAATATATTTCTATAATTATTATTATAATAATGATAAATGCATTTATAAATTAGATTTTTTAAAACAAAATGTTTTATTATAAATTAATAATAAATATTAAAAATATATATTATATTATTAATTATATATTATATTATTATATTAATTTTCATTTTATTGTCTTTTATAGATGTTCGAGATATGTCTTTTAAATTATCGTTTAATTATACTTGACGGTGCCTTTTTAGTCCATACACCAGGTATTAAACGAAAAATAAAAATTGATGCAAAAAAACAAGCATTTTTAAAATCTCACGAAAAAAAAAATGCTCAAATATATCAACGAATAATTAAGCGTTTATCGAAACGATATCCTATTAATCGTAAATGCGCGCATTAATATTTTCGATAATAGAAATCAGTATTCAGTATTCAGAAAATTGTTTTTAATATAAGAATAAAATTAATGTTAAATTAAAGATACATAAAACAACTATATCGTTTATTTAAAGCTATAGAATTATAGTAGATATGTTATCTGACGAACTAATAGTCTGACGATAATCCGAAATTTGTAGAACAAATGAAATATCAGAACAAAATTCATATAGTATAATGTACTATGTGTATAGTATAATTTACTTCTATAGGAATTTAATTACATTTTTGATTGTTTTGATATATTTATGAAATTTTAGTTCATCAAAAAAGATATTTACTATAACCTAGGAGTCTAATAATATTATTATTTATTTGAAAATAACATTATACTTATACTTACATTCGCTGTAAAAAATTGTTCTTATATTTATAAATGAATGAATATGAAGAAAATAATAAAATGAAAATGTGCCTATATAAAAGTTGTAATATTAATATTATAATTCCATAAACAATATGTATGTATAATAATAGTAATATCTTTCATATCAGTCAGTTAATTGTTAACATAAAATATGTTATGCATAAGAGATATAAACATATCATGAAAATTATAAAAATATATTTTTTCATTATTTAATATAATTATCTATTTGATAATATAAAATAAAATATTAATTTGAATCATATATATCAATAATTTATGATTTAGATTTTATATAAAAAAATATCTCAAATTTATAATATTATATATTATCATAAATAATTTTTCTATATGTATTTAATTTTTTTATATAAATATAATATATAAATATAATATAATTATATAAATATATATATAATTTTTATATGTAAATATAAATTCATCAAAATTATCATCATTTATAATAATAAAAATATAAATCTACTTTTTAAAAAACGAAATAATTTTCTTAAAATTGGGTCAAATGACTTTTGAATTTTTTTGAAAAATTAGAAAGATTAGCTTATTACGTGAAATATAAAAAAAATATTAAAAAAGTTGCAATTTATTGGAAGAAGATATAGATTAAAAAAAAAAATTGTAAAAATCACTTTTTATCTGAACTTGTAAATTAAAAAGATATATTTTATAGATTTATATCAATTATATATATGTTGAAAATTTTATTGAAATCAGCTAATATTATGATCTATAAATAGTGATCTAAAAATCGTGAAAATTATAGTTCTTTAAGATTTTCGTAATAAATCTAAAAATTTTTATATTTTTCGATATTTATCTCTTGTTTCTGCATCAATCGATTTTGATGAAATTTTCAGTATGTATATATATATATCTGATATAAACAAATTGTATGTTTGAAATTTTCATAGGATCAGATAAAAAAATTGTAAAAATTGACTTTTACTATTTTCTTCATGATTCTAATTGCGACTTTAAAAATTTTTTTTAATTTTTTATTTGTTATATAGTAAATTAATGCTTCTAATTCAAAAAAATTCAAGTCGTTTTCATCTTAAAAAAGTTATTCTTAAACTTTAAAAAATCTTTTTATTTTTGGTAAATTTATATTTTTGTCTGTTATTGTACATAAGAACATATATACATTATATTATATATTATTGATATTGATTATTGATATATCTTATTGATATTGTATTCGCATATAAGAATAAAAAAAAAATTTATGTACTCACGTCTTAAATTATTGAACATTGTCTTGACTAATGATATAGAATGTTTAACATTTGAAACAGTTTAAAAATATGAAACAGTTTTAGGCGTGTCGAAAAAGCAGTTTATAAAAGCAACACTGTTAAACGACTGGTTAAAATTAAATTGATCATATTTTGAAAAATAAATTCTGACATGATAAATTTTTACATATAAATTTTTATATTTCTAAAATCAATTTTTTAATTCTTCCACTTTTTTAATTTTATAAGATATTAGATATTAGATTAATTTACAAAATAAAAGAATTATGTTAATATAATATATAAATAATATTTATTAATTCTTTAAAATAATTAAAAACAATCTATGTACAATTTTAATGAAATTTTATATTTAATTTGAATTAAATTATTACATTTCATTTTATATGAATTAATTTTTTAAGCTCGAGATATTAATTCTTCTTAATACAGCACTGTAATAATATGAAATATCAATAATTGAAAGTTAAATCAAAATTAATCTGTGAAATTTGTTGTAATAAAATATGTAATCCTTTTATACAAATTATTCATAAAATTTCGTAAATAATATATTTTATGTTAATTTCAATTAAAATAATTTTAAAGTTTTATGTAAAACATAAATAATTCAATATTTGAATGTGAATTTTGAAATTTCTTAAAAAATTTAAATTTATATTCATAATATTCGCCTGCTGGGATTAAAAACGAGGTTATCCATGAAATATTCGTTATCAGAATGATTAATGATTACATACACATCTAATGTGCATTTAGCATTTGAAAATGATGGACATATAAGAAAAGTAGATATTAACACTGAGTAATCGATCTTAAATAAGAATTGAATGAAAAGAGATAATGATAAATTATCTGCTTATTTCAAAATAAAAACAGAAATAAGAGTCAATAGAAAAATTGAGTTACGTGTATTGAAGTTACAGGCTCAGTCTTCGAGCGGTGGCGTATAAGCAAAGGAAGGTAGTTGAAGTTTTTTATTAAAGAAGTTAAGTAAGTATATTTTTAGTTATTTTGATTCAATAATAATTAGCAAATATTTAATTATAATGTACATCATTAATTGTAGCAATTATAACAATGGATATATTAAAGAATGTATCGTCGGCTTTTTGGTCAACTGATGTTTGGTTACCGCCTAATATAACGTGGGATGATATTAAACCTAATTCAGAAAATAAATACACAAATTTTCAACATTTAATTTATCCTTTACCTATGGCATTATTTCTTTTAATAATCAGATATGCTTTAGAAAGGTAATCATTCTATTTTATTGTTAATATATTTTTTCAATTTTATAATTTTTAAAATATAAAATTTGTAATTAAATTGAGGTTATAATATATATATATATATATATATATATATTTATATTTTACGTTATTTAAAACATTATTTAAAGTTTATTATTTTATTTTTTTAAAATATTTCATTAAATATTTAATGTAAATTATAGTTTATTAGATTTTAATATGTAATAATAAACATATATATATTATTTAGTTATATACATAATAAACAATATATGATAATTTTTATAGATACTGTTTTGCACCT